ACACGAGCGTGCACATGTGAGGCCCCTCCCACCAGCGTCACATAAGCCCTCTCCCCCCCGTTTGCTACAGTGTTTTATTCTTTCTCACCACGTCTACGTGCTAAAGGCAGTGAGTTGCTGCCATATGATTGGCTGATCATTTGTGAGTGAGTGTGTGAGTATCTATATAGATACACACACACACACACACACACACACACACACAGAAGCGTCTCACCATCGACGGGGAACAGAGGGGTGGGGCCGGAGGGCTTGGCGGTGGTTGCTATGGTGACAGAAGCGGAGGAGGCAGAGTCCAGGAAAACAGGACTGACCAGAGGAACTTCCTGTGGGGGGGCGTCGGGTTTAGCAGCACGAGAGACTGGAAGGAAGACAAAGAGAAGCCGGTTCTGGGTGAGAAGAAGCCCGGAGCAGGTTGTCATTCTGCTATCAGTACTTTACTCTCCTGACTAGTATCCATAACACCCTGGTGATACCAGCACAGGAACGTACCTCCTGCAGGTGAGCACTGGGAGTTTGGGTTCCTCAGGGTTCTGCTGCTCTGAATTCTCTGGGTTTTGGGGGAAGTCCTGGATGTGACTAAGACACAAAGAGACGACAACAATAGTGTTATAAACGTCACATGCATTGTCTTGTGATATTATAACGTCTCTGCTATAGATAAACCTGTCAATCAGTGTGTAGCCCCGCCCTAAAGCATCCCCTGCTTTATGGTCTGTTTGACCATCATCCACTTGGTCAAAGAAGAAACTTGTGTTGTGTTGAAACTAGAGACTGAGACCATGAACTCATGTTTACAATGTTTACTGAGGGAATAAATCAAGAGAGAAGTAGAGTCATTTCCTCATAGACGTCTATGGGAGCAGAGGAGTCGCCCCCTGCTGGTCACTACAGAGAAGTAGAGTCATTTCCTCATAGACGTCTATGGGAGCAGAGGAGTCGCCCCCTGCTGGTCACTACAGAGAAGTAGAGTCATTTCCTCATAGACGTCTATGGGAGCAGAGGAGTCGCCCCCTGCTGGTCACTACAGAGAAGTAGAGTCATTTCCTCATAGACGTCTATGGGAGCAGAGGAGTCGCCCCCTGCTGGTCACTACAGAGAAGTAGAGTCATTTCCTCATAGACGTCTATGGGAGCAGAGGAGTCGCCCCCTGCTGGTCACTACAGAGAAGTAGAGTCATTTCCTCATAGACGTCTATGGGAGCAGAGGAGTCGCCCCCTGCTGGTCACTACAGAGAAGTAGAGTCATTTCCTCATAGACGTCTATGGGAGCAGAGGAGTCGCCCCCTGCTGGTCACTACACAGAATGCAGTGCGTACCTCCATTGACGGTGGAGCAGGTGGAGTCGGCGAGCGCCTTTTGGTGAGAGAGAGAGTGCGGCAGGACGCTATTGGTGCAGGGGGGGCTGCCGGCAGCCGGCGGGCTGCCCTGCGACTGGTGGGGGGAGTAGGTGGTCTTGACGGACAGCGTGCTGCTCCGGTCGGAGGTGGAGCCTGCTGGTGGGTTCCTCGATGGGCCTGGAGGCGCGGCGGTCCGACCCGACGCTCCAGTTCTGCCAGACAGGCCGACCTCTCGGGCTCGCTGCGGGAGAGGGATGTATTTACCTTCCCTGGGGACAAGAGGACAACGGTGAGAGGAACTCTGTGAAACAAAACCACAATCTCATTCTGCTGATTGAGGTACGGCGTTAGCGTAGCCTAGCATTGATCAATCCAAACAAAACAACAAACAATCATCAAGACAAAACATGGATTCTGACGTTTTAAACACTGGCAGCATTGTGTTGTCGCTTTGTTGGAAACCAAAGAGCTTTTTCAGCACAAACTGCCATCCCTCATTTTTTCAATTTAAAGAACTCACCTCCCGCTGGACGCGAACCCGGGGCTGGCCCGGTCCTCCCCCCCCCGGACCACCGAGCTGTACTTGTCCTCCTCGCTGCGGCCCTCGTCGTTCTCCAGGGAGACCCGCCGGCGGTACTGCAGGCTGCCCTCGATCTCATTGGCCAGCCGGGCGGCTCGCGCCTCCCGCTGCCGGAAGACCTCGGACGTGCCCTTCTCCAGAGGCATGCTGGGAGAAAAGACAGGGAGGGGGGGGGGCAGTTTGTACAGTGATGCATTAATAAGATCAGAAGAATAATAAAAGCAACCACAAGGTCATCAGACTTTATATAAAAACTATCATTATATAAAAAGCATCGTCGCCATATTCTTGTAGCAGTATTACATGTAGCAGTAGTAGTATTACAGGTAGCAGTAGTAGTATTACAGGTAGCAGTAGTAGTATTACAGTGGAAGTATCTGAATACTAAACCTTCATCAAGGTTGTTCTGATACGGACATGAGAACTGATGGGACGACGACAACAACAACAACAACAAGCTGGGCGGAGAGGAGACTCACGTGTACATGGAGAGGCTGGAGTCATAAGTGGACTTCACTCCGTACGCCTCCTCGTTGAACCTGAACATCTCGTTAGCATCCCAACCGTTAGACTGCAAGGAGGTGAAGAGTGAGGAGGTGTCTTCTGTCATAGGCTGAGAGAAGCTACACGGAATGCTAATGCTAACGTGACGGAGCGAGCTGCTTCTCTTTCAGGTGTATTCTGGCGTGCGTGAAGGTGTGTGTGTGTGTGTGTGTGTGTGTGTGTGTGTGTGTCTCACCGAGTCCGCCTCCAGTTCAAAGTTCTCCCCGTTCCCGTCCCACCTCTGCAGGACTTTCTCCCGATGATCCCCGTTCAGCCGCGACGAGCTGATGGACGTGTCGGTGAACGCGTCTGACACGCACACACGTATTATTACGTTATTATTACTATTATATATATATATATATACGTACATATTTCATTTTCTATGAAGAATTTACCCCCCTCTGCACTTAAGTTCTAATAAAAGAAGCTTCCTCTTGTCAGGCGTTAATTCACAAATTTGAATTCAAGTGAAAATTCCACACGGCGATAACCTTATTTGTAAATATATAACAATAATATGATGAACGCATTGGTCTTGTCACCTTTGACGGCGAAGTTGAGGTCGACGTCGCGACAGGTCATCGTCACCAGGTCGGTGGGGCTGAAGATCATGGTGTCGGTTATGTCTTCAATCTTAGGTGGAGGGGACTGGCTGCTTCCTCCACCTTCCTCCCCTCCTCCTCCGTCCCCATCGCTCTGCTTGTGGACGGCATCCACGGCCAGCTCGCACTGACGGGGGAGAAGAGGAGCTGGATGAACGATGTGTGGAAGCAAACAGTGTAACAAGCGGGTCTCTATTTTTACCTGAGAGCTTAAAGTCTTGAAGATTCCTTGGTACGCGGCGCCGTTCTTCACCCTCACATCGCAGGTGGAGCCCTGTGACCAGAAGAGAGATGATGTCATCATTCAGGTTTATAGTCCCTGATATTTGATCATGTGACATTGTAACCAAATCAGTGTTTAGATCAACCGGAGGAGCTAGTAGTGTTAGCAGCGCCGCTAAAAGCTAACCAACGGAGGTTCTCTTAGGTTAGTGTGATGCATTCAGGCTCCTCTCAATGAAAATGGAAACATTATAATATCTGTGACGTGTTAATGTGTCATCTGTAAAATGTTGATATGGAGAGAAACCTCAATAAATCCAGATGTTCCTACATGAATAGAAAACAGTAGGGCTGTCAAAGTTAGCAAGTTAATCTGGTATTATTGTGGCCGAGATGAATGCGATAAAAACACAGTTAACGCAACTTTGTTTCCTTCTGTTGTGCGTTGACCCCTGAACCCTGAAGCAGTCAGTCAGATGCAGAGAAAAACAAACAGAAGAACTGAGCAGAGGAATTCCTCCACGTGTCAAACAGAAGGGGGACAACGGACCACTTTGGACTGATAGGCTAAGCTAGCTGCTAGGCTAAGCTAGCTGCCAGGCTAAGCTAGCTGCCAGGCTACTTCCATCTCAAGAGAGACCAGAGGACCAACACTGTGTCCCTAAACGCAAGTGGTGTGGAAACGCTGGATGTGGGGAAAGTGTTGTAACGCGTCAAATGATGGAGAGTTGAGAGCAAAGTGAACGAGGACAACAAGAAGAGTCGTAGTTCAACATGTTCCACCTCCGACCGGATCACATGGGGGGAGTTTGTGTTTAAAATATAATTAAACAATAGTGTCTAAAATACACGCTTTCTAAAGAGATCACTTGTTAATTTCTATGGTTTAGACTTTAGAGGAAAAACAAACTTTTAATTGCGAGTATTCTAGATTAATGAATTTCAAAATGTGATATTAGTTTTGTTTTATTATCTATTGACAGCCCTCCAAAATAGATATTATAGATGAGTTATGATCGGTTTAACTTCATAACAAGCTTTAACCACAATATTATTCATCATTATAAATAACCACAATAAAGGGAAACATGTTGTATTCCCCTCATTCAAATTGTGTGTTTTCATGAGAATCACCACGATAGGTGACTTTAACAAAGTACAAGGATCTAGTAGAAATATCCTGGTTTGTAAGACCACATGATTGTTCTTGTGATCTTCTCGACTCACCACGACTGCTGTGAGGAAGTGAAGCATTCTGGCATTGTTGTAGACGCCTTCAAACACCTGCAGGAACCGGTGGAACGTGAGCATGTTGTTCAGTGGAACAATACAAGCGTTTTAAGGCTGATATTTAACATTAAAATCATAATTAATAACAATTTTCAAAGGATTCTTCACGCTGGATAAAAACAGTTTATGAACATTTTCTGTCAAAGAAACTGACGAGAAACTCACCGATTAAAATGATTGATTTGTGATGATAGAAACAAGTCAATAATTAACTTATAAAACATTATTTTTGTACATGCAAGAATAATATGTGAATAATTATATTTATTAATTATCCATATATCTTATTTTTGTCTCACAAAATAATATAAAATAACAAACATTTTAGAAACAACTAGCAGTATCCATTAAAATAATGTTTGTCTTCCAAAACGAGGATCAGAGTTCGGACGTCCTTGAAGATGAGGCTTGTTGTAAATGGGAGAACATCGGGGAACCGATGAGGAACCGATGAGGAACCGATGAGGAACCGGCCCGATCAGATTGGGCCGGTTCCTCATCGGATGTTTACAACAGCTTTATTGCCCCAGTGAACCACACTGTACTTACTATGCTGCTTAAAGGGGATGTCTGCGACGGAGGTTTCATTGTGTTCCTGGTCCTTAAGAGGGAGGAGAGAAACGAACGTTAGCTAACAGCTAATAACAGCTAACAGAAAAATGCGGGTCCTCAGAAGGAGAACAATAAACACAAGCCTTGCTAGCTAGCTAGCATGGCAGCTAGTTAACCCATGACATGACGGGATTTGGTAACATTTATATCCGCGGTTATATCCAAACTAATGCCCAGGGGGCAACGTAAACGGCAACGTTGTTGTTGATGTTGTTTGGAGTGAGGTTAAAATAAGATAGCTAATCGTGCTAAGACAGCTAGCTTAGCACAGATGTCGAATTATAGCCACACAGCTGGAAGCCAACCGACAGAAACGACGTCGGCGTCACGTTATAAACTGACAGCCCTTTTGGTATTTAGATTTTACTTTTTAGTCATGTGCATCCCGGTTGCTCCTGTCCCGTCGTTCCAGCGAAAAGTCCCACGGTCTGACAGGCCGATCGCGACACACCGCTGGAAAAACAACAAAACACGGCAGCGGCTGCGTTCGATTTGTTCAGCCCCTTGCGCCAGCTGAGCGCGTGATTCGGGTCAGGTGAAGAGGAGCGAGCCACTGCCGGGCGATATAAACAACAAGGATGTTCTAGTTAGACTAAAAATACTTTATTGAGTTTAAAATTGCCATTTAATATTCTGCCAGTACTCACTACGAGCGAATGCTCCCGCACGAAAACAGAAAGTCAAAATCAGCCGGGATCCGCCGGTGACTGAAACGAACGCATCACTCGTGAATCCCGCCTACTAAACTAATCTGAAACCTGATAGGAGGAAACTTTCTATCAACACAGATTGAACTTTTGTTTCATTGGTTTAGAATTCATGTCAATAACTTTCTTCGGCTGGTGGACTCTCTTCCCAGAGTTCATGTCAGGAAACTGATGCAAGAGAATTTGTCGTTTGGTTTTAGGGAATACAATACAAATAAAACATTTAAAAATAATGAATTCCGTTGTTTAGATATGTTTCATCACCGTAACAAGTAGAACAAATATTTGAAAGGGTATTTTTTAACTTGATTCCCTTGTGTATGTGTACAATATATACAAATACTAGCGTATTGAGCGGATGCAATTTTACACCTAAAAAATCGGCATAAAATACAAATTCTTGGCCTACTAACTTCTTGAGATTTCAAGCATTGAATCACAATCAACAATAAAGTTAGCAGACCAAATCTCAAATTGAGAATTATAAATAATCTTGCAGATTTACTGAATTTGGGGTATATTTGTTTTTACCTAAACGTTTACCAGCTTACCAGATCTTTTTTTTCTTTCTCCAATATGTATTCAACTGTAGTTGGTTTACAAGAGAAGCTTATCATTTCCAAAAACCTTTAAACTATAGATCAAACAACATACAAATCTTTTGAGCAGTATTTTTGTTCCCTTTCTTTTAAGTTTCCAGTTAATGAAGTACCATGCATACTTGCTTTTGATCTACTGCTCTTATCTCTCCCCCCAAAGCTGTAAACTTAGGGGAAACACTGCTAATACTATTTTAAGGATAAGACCCTATCAAACTATTATGTTAAAAACATTGGCGTCTCAATTATTGTCGTTACAGTAATGATTATAACTAATTAATATCCTTTACCAGATCTATCAGAGAAGAAGAAAGACCACACAACATTTATGTTTCACTATATTTATATTATATCATTAAATTCAATATAGTACCTGAAACTAACCACACGAGGGCGGACGCACAACAATGCCCCCCCCGGACCCCCGACCCCCCAACAAAGAAATAGTCGTAGCAAAGAGAGAAAAGAGACAGAGAAAGGCACAAAGAGTTCTGACACAAGGATACTGAACAAAATGATGTGTGTGTGTGTGTGTGTGTGTGTGTGGGGGGGGGGGGGGGGGCCTATAAACAAATAACTGGCCCAAAAAAAAAGCGGTAAAACGGGGGGGGGGTTCTCATCAATTAATAGAACCCAGTTGTCACCCCCAAAAAGGCCCCAGTAGAAAAAGCGGTCTTCCTCTTTCCTTTTCCCTCGTGGGCAGAGGGCGACCAAGGGCGGGACCCACGTGGGAAAGAACGGAGGCAACGTCGCCGTGGCACCTGAGCATCATGGCAAATCTTATATCGATTTTTT